AGGACGATATTATACAATATTACACGCGACTATACATATAACCAGCTTTAAATCAAAAACAAATGAAGAGCGCTTGCTTGTTTCAGGCATTGTGCAGCGCTGTGCTTTATTGCGAACCTCCAATTTGGGAAAGGATCAAAAGCATTCCAACCCCAACAATCATTTCAATTTCAATGATGTTTATACTTGTCGTGTTTGCTATGCATTATGATTGGATTGCTTTGAATGTTATCAAATTACAATAATTTTACAAAAAAATAGTGGGATATTATGTATCAAGTGGATAAATGGGAGTTTTTGTCATGGGATTTATTGAGAGTGAGTGTAGCGAGTGAATAATCAATCAAGTGTTTAATAATGTTTAGTCACAAGTTGCTTACACTATTTTTTCACGTAAATTATTTTTATTTTAATTTTTTATTCAAAATTTATGAAATTTTCTACTGTGAAATGGAAACGCGCAGACGCAAGGATCACCCCGTGACTAAAACCTGTGGCTAAAGTACTTTACTCACGGTTTTAGCTATTAATGTAAAAAAATTTATATTTTGTGTCTTTAAACCGTAAATAAATTGATGTAGAAAATTTATATTTTAATTAAATTGTTATTTTTTTTATTCTGAGCTACAAAAAACATTATTTTACTTTGTTTGCTTTACTTTTACTTTTACTCTCACTATAAGCACTTAATAGGGTTTACTAAGGGTTGAAAGAAACAAACAGAAGACAAGAAGACGTCACGCTGCGCCCTTTTGAGCAGACTCCAGGCACAGGGCGCAAACGACGTTGAGACAGATTGAAATCTAATCCCAGCGCCTAAATTTAAGAAGAGCGTAATGCGCGTTCCGTGTGAATGCACGAAGGGTGACAAATTGCTCTCAGCGCGCACGGGATCACAAAATAACGCCTATAGAAGGGGTGGAAATTAAGGTGACCCCCTAATGAACAATAGCAAATTTATTCTAAGTCTTTGCCAAAGCCTAATGGCATTTATTTTGAGTTCGAAACAATTAAAATACTTTACTGCATTTTGTATTTTTAGCAAATATTGATTTTTTTGCACTCGCACGCATAAATAATTTAATCTTTTTCATGCCAAGTGTAATTAGTGAAACAGCGCACATAATAAACGAGCGCGTAATGGCCGCCTCGTAGGGGTTGTTAATCTTGGGGCTATATTTAAGGAAACACGCACGTTGACTCGGAAAATGCCAGGTTTGCAAAATTCGGACGTGTATTCATATTGGCATCGTTATTCGAGGCAAAAGGGTGTATTTTAAGGGTGAGCAGTGATGAGGGTTGAAAAGGGGATGCAAACTGGTCGGCTTAGATGGATTTGGCCGGATCTCGACGGTTATGCATCCCTTTGCATCTCTTCCGGCACTATCCATGTCGCAAACCCTTAAAGAACGAGTTACACGTCAAAATCTCCAAAACTACTATCGCCATCTTACGGAAAATAGCGTTAAATATTATCACACATCAAAAATGGTTGAATTTTTGTGTGGGTAACTAAAAGTCGATTTGCGTATGGCATGGAAATGCGTCGCTTGAATAAAAATGAAATGTCATGCTGAAAGTATTGAATTTTTTTGCGGTTGTATCAAAGAATGATTGATAACTTTTTGAAAATAACACAATGCAACACAGAGAAATTTACTGGGCTGGTGATTTTGAGCGGTGGTGAGAAAGCGATTTTTTGTGTGGATGGGTTTGCATGGGTGTGTGGGTGTGAGCGGCGAGGGAGGAAATTGCGAAAGTTTAAAATAAAAAGTAAACAACATCAAAACTTGGCACGCGAGGACGAGAACCGCAAACTGGAAAAATAGATGATGTAATTTCGTGCATTATTCTTCGGCCAGCATCTGCGCAAGGCCAAACTGGGGAATGGAGACAGTCAAGACAAATAGTGATGACTTGAGACAACTAAAACAAATACAGAAAGTGCAAAAATTATAGCGGCAAAATGGAAAATTTGAAAAAAAAAGTTTTTTTTGAAAAAATTTTGCGTTTTGCTCATTTTTTTGCAAAATAAATGATTAATATTATTATTTATATATGATATTTATTAGATTTTCAATTCTTTATCAGTATTTAGTACAACTGTAAAAATTGCTATCAAAAATATTAAAAATGGAAAATTTTTCAAAATTAAAAAAAAAATTTTTTGCAAAAAAAAAATTACCTTTGTAATATTTGCCGAAAATATTTAAGAAATAGAAATGTATATTAAATACACTTTTTTGTTGTGCCATTTTCACTTAATTTTGCCAAAAATAAGCAAAAAACATTCAAATTTTTTTCAAAAACATTTTTTTTTCTTTTTTTTTTTGCAATTTCAGAAATAACTTTCCAAATATCTAAAGTTCCAAGAAAGCATATGATGAAAACTTTGGTCTTACTTTAATTCTTCATAAAAAGTAGCAGAAAACTTTAAAAAATTTAAATTTCAATAGCTCAAACTCTTTGCCAATAACATAGGCAACTTTCCAGACACATTAGCAATATTCACCTCACCAAACCTGCGTCGTCATCAATGCAGATTCAACTGCCCGACAACACCTCAGTTCCCACCCTCAAACCCCATCCGCACCAACCCCTAAGACAACCAAAGTTCCACCATTTGTAAACTAGTTCTCTAGTTGCGCGAATTGGGAAATTCGGCGATTGCATCGACACCGAAAACACGTTTAACGCATTTCACGCCGCAATTAACTCCTAGCGACACATTTCCACCGACACTCCACTAAAGCTCAACAACAACCCCTAAAATTACATATCCACGCACGCGTATGACACTTGCGTGAAACTTTCCTTACAAATCCAATGGATTAATATTACGAATTTCCACCGCTTCCACATCGATACAGAATATTCGCACAGCTCACCTCTGGAAATGTGTAGCAATAATTCGCATTGGGTTATTTCCATCTACAATATGCATGGTGATGCTGTATGCCGCAATGCAAAATGATGGCAAGGGGTGAAAAAGGGGAGTGGGTGAGAGTGAGTGTATGCTTTATGCACACGGGAAACGTTACCCATTTCCGCTCAATTTGCAATACACGCTCGCAAAACAGGAAATGCGACGCGTACGCTGCGTAATTTACAAGTGCATTAATTTCACCCTTGTTAAAAATCAAAATCATGTTACTTGATTAAAAACTATATTGATTTTTTATTCTATTTTCCCCAAAAAATATATTCAGGTGCTTTTCCGTCTGCTAAGTGCCACTATTTTTTGAATAGCTTAACTTTTCGTCTTTCACTCTTTTCAATAAAGTTGGCAGAGCTGGCGGGTAAGTGCGGCGCATTTCGAGCGCGACCCGCCGGCCACATGAAAGCGACCAATGTCCCGAAGCGGCGCGCACTAGCGAAAAGGTTCAAGGCGAACACAGCCCCGGCGCCTCCACCATCCGTGCCAAAAATAATCTTTTTCGTTTCCTACCCCTTCAACCCTCTGGCCACTACTGCCATACACACAATTTTGTCCGGTGTAGTTTTTTCTTCTTTTTCTTGCGCATTGTTTCTTACTGAGGTGTTATTTGTCCAAGGCGCGCATTAATCTAAATCCAATGAGCGCGTCATTAGTCACGGCAAGAATTTTACCCACACTTATATATATATAAATACAATACATACCCTTAGCTTTAGTTTAAGTTGTGTTAAAATAAGGGTTGTGAAATAAACGTATAGTGTTGGTTTTTCACCCAAAAGATTACAAATACCGCAGGAGTTGTATGCGTAATGAGCGATCGTATCAGAGAATTAAAATTACATCAAAACAAAAACCCTTAAACTACCCCTAAGTAAAACAAATTCGCCGAGAATCAAATTAATTAAAATCAGCACATATAGAATGTTTTATTAGTTTTAGTGTTGTAGGTAGGAATTTTTTTTATTTTTTTATATGAAAAACACGCATTTCTTAAATTAAGGGTGGTTTTCTAATCAGTCATGGTCTCCGCTACTTGACGGCTCGTAATAATTAGCAAGGAATCTGATTTGAATGTTGTATGTTTGCACGGATTAGTAAAATGACTTCATTTGAAGCTTTTACCACTTTATTTGTTTTCATTATCGAGGAAAGCTTTTCATCCCTTATGGCGCACATATGTGCATGTGCATTTATGAAATCTGGTGACCTCGTATCAAGCGTCTGCAGCCGGCGGACGGTTCAATTTCGACTTGCATTCCGTATTCATAACTCGCAGAAGCTTTCGTCCTGAGAAAATGAGCTTTTGTGCGCTTATTATCAAATTAAACTAATGAAAGCTTTCTAGATTCAAATATAATTTATTAAAATTATTAAAAATAAATAATTTTAAAGCATTTTTACAATTTTTTTATTTTTCGTTTTTTTTTTTAATTTTATGCTTGTTTGCAAAAGAATTAATTACTCGTGTGCACCATTTTGTTACGCAATAAAAATACACTTTGTCACACGTGCACGAGTCACTCGACATTGATAATTAATTTTAGTCACACGACGCAGGTCATTAAAACGTGCAAAAAGCTCACCAACCACGTAAAATCACAAAATATTTTATACCGGTATAAATTTTTGTATGTTTAACATGCAGCAAAATTTCCGCCAATAAGTTATTGTACTCGCACTTGAAAAGCTCTGAAAGCTCGATTTGAACATGATATCCAACAACAGCGTTCTGCATCAAAAAGCTGCGAAAACGATCGATTCGACGTCCGACCACGTTGTAAAAATAAATTGTGTGCACGTTACCGCCGTTTCCGGTCCGAATTCGCTTTTATCGGCCGCCATTTGCAAACCGGTTGAAACATTTGCACGTTTCCACGTGTTTATTGTTCAGTTACTACTTGTACAATAAATACATCAAAAGTAATAGTGTTATGTTGTTTTACATATTAGATATAATGAATTTATGTAAAGTTTTATTTTATACCCGGCGCCTCCACTATATATAACTATATGTATTTTTTTATTATTTTTATTTTTTTGAATTATAGGTTAAGTTTCTTACCGTTTGTCCAATAGGCGATCAACAGGAAGAGTAGAATTCGTCCATCCATTGTTCTGAAACACAGAAAAAGCATACATTTTAATTTTTCAAGAGTTTCTCCAGCTTTATCTCATCCTCAATTCACACTTCCGCGTAATTTCCACTCGTCGAAAGCCCAAAACTTCAAAACTACCGTGCAACCAGATAAAAACTTCTCCTCCTTCAACCATTCCTATTCAAAAGCTCGGTTAGTCCTCGTAGTTCAACACGCTTCGAATGTAAGCTTACATTCGAGCTAATGACGCCCGAACACCTTCGAAACAGTTCGCGCGCTCCAACTTTGAGCTTTTCTTGAGCTTGCGCTCAGCTTTTATCCGAATTCATTTTGGTTCTCATAATTAATGAAAAACTTGCAACTAGCGCTCGCCCACCAGAATTACCTGGCAATTTATCAACGCGCGCGCGAAAGCTCCCCGGAAAGCTTCCGGCACTTTTTCGCGATTTTATAATACAGACTTTAAAGAAAACATAGCGCATTTTTAACGCAACATAACTCAATTTTTAATCTGCTTTCCGCAAAGTTTTTCCATGCGAAAGCTCCGCGTCGCTGGCGGGTTCACGTTCTAACAACATTTAACATTCAACATAGACACACGTTACAGCAGCTTAAAATCCCATCATAAATCTTTCCAACATAAAATATTTATTTTTTGCGTTAATTAGTAAATTACGCTTTTCTTACTCATAATTAATTAAAATAGTTTTGACAGCTTTCGGTTTCCTATTAGTTGTATTAGTTGTAACACAAAGTAATCAATCAGTAAACGTCGCGTAAAATTTTCGAAAATTATTTCGCTGCAATAAAAACAAGACGCCGACAATCAATGATTAATTAAATGCCATACACGCAAAGAATACAATCTTCTGCAAAACCCAACAAAGTTAATTAATAATTTTTCAATTAAACGTTTTTAATTTTTCCAAAATAAAAATTCCATTCGGTGAAAGCTTCCTTATTCACGCTCGAGTCAAGTTTTTTAGCGCTGTAGACTTATTTTGCTTACGCCTCGAGCTTTTATAACAAACAATAGCTTTTATATTACAAGATATATCACGGCGGCAGTGTCGATGAAATAACAAGCACGACCGGCGACGCCTACGCGTTTTTAATAAATTATGCCCCCGCTACTCGATTACTTGTTGGGCGCTTCGTCCTCCTGTCGCTCTTGAGCTTTTTGTTGTGAGAAAAAGCACCGAGAAGTATCTCATCGATCCAGAAACGGTTCGTGTCGCGCGTGCAAAATTGATACGTGCAACAAGAAATGTGCATTCCGCATGAAACACTCGCCAAAGACCAATTATTATTTTTATGCACCGTATTATGGACATTTTTACATTTAACGCTAAAAATATGCCCGCTTGTGTATGTGCGCTTGTAATTGCTTCGTTATTTGAAGTATAATTGCTTTCTTTGATCTCTCGCCAAATGGAAGCGTCTGTTTGGTGCGTTGCAAGAGTCATGGTGGAGGCGCCGGGCACGTGACAGAGAGCGGGGCGAATACAAACACGGCTTTTATTTCGCGTTTCTTTATTTATCTTGCGCCGGCGGCGTCGTTTGTAGCCAGAGTATAAGTGCCGTCCGCGTTCTGGATAAGATTTATAAGTGAGCTTATTCTTTCGCAAAGCTTTAAAGTATCGTCGCGTATTCCCAACTTGCAATACAATACTTACTAGTATAACAAGGCATTCGAACAATAACAACAAATATAATGTTTTGTTAGAGAAAAAAATTAAATTTAATATGTGATAAAATGTTTCCATTGTGCGCGAGCTTTGAAACAAAACTCGGAAAGTTTTTTAATTTCAAACACACGATGCTAGCGCGGGCGAGAAGAAGAACAAAAGCGTGCTTTTAAGTGCGATAATGAGTTCTCAAACTATTCACGAGACAAACACATGGATTCTTCGCTGAAATGCGGAGTATTGTGCTCGTTTGTTGTCGTTTACACATTCCGAAAGCAATTCGCGAAATTAAAGCTCTTAAAACAACGTTTTTCAGGATTTTTTTTTGGTGAATTTAATAAAAACAAAATGTTTTATAGAAGCATGTATTATACAAAGAAAAATAAAAAGAAATTTTTAAAATGTAAAAATTTACTGTGTGTAAAGCATTGTGTTGCCCGGCGCCTCCACTTCCGGGCACCAACTTGTTTTTACAACTGTGTCGTCTACCTAGAACTTTAATTTTAAAAATATTACATAAACTATACTTGATAAAAAATATTTAATGTGTGTTTTGTTTATAAATTATTTTTTTAACCTCAAAATGCCAAAAATAAAATTTTTGATTTTTATTTTTTAAGTTTTTTACAAAAAAAATATGAAAAGGTTGTTGTTTTGGGCGACGATTCGTTTACAGCTTGTTTTCCCAGATAGACATAAGGGTAGTTTTGCAATGTGTCTCGTCACCCACAAGAAAGCACCCGCTACTTGAGCGTGCACGAAACACGAAACATCCGCCATTCTAAAAAGGTTGTAGCTTGGGTGTCGACAGATGAAAAAATTTTATAAAGAAGCATACGCTTCGATGTTTCGCGATGCGAGTGGTTGAAATTCTTTCTGGCGAATAACCAGAGCTTCCTCCTACGCCCACGGATATATAAGTCTATATAATATAGCAGAATATATATGTTCAGAGGGTGGAAATTGCGAGTCTAAGGAACATGAATCAGGTTAGATGTTAGATGTTAGATGTTATCCAGGTATAGTCCTGTAGTCTTCTGGTTATGCACGCGTTTTACTTTTTCCACGTGAAGAAACACCCAGGTAACATAATAAAAAATAAATAAAAAGGAAAAAATTGAAAAACGTGAAAATTGAAAGCGAAAAATGAAAAAAATATTTTCTGACAATATATTATCACCACAAACCAATTAATTACGCTAAGTGCACGAAGGCAAACATCCTTTCTATTATCCTAGGTAGTTCTAGACGCTATGCTTTTACCTTTTGGCGTAAACATCAACGGAAACTTCGTTTGTGCCAACATTACTCATTTCTCACGTCTGATTGCTCATTGTCTCAAAGATTCAGTATCAAAACATTATATCCGTAATATAAATTCAGGTCAAACACTGTTTATGTTTTAATGTCAATGATATTTTCGTTTTAGGCCTTGGTGGATGCGCCGGGCGTAAAAAATATATATTCGCTCGGCAGGTGAATGTTTCACCTTTACCGAATTAATTTCGCACGACGTGTGTATTTCCGGACGTGTATAGCAACCCGCATTTCAATTCCGTTCGCCGGGTCGCGACGCAACGACTCAGTCGGCTGATTTTTTATGGTATGCGTAAAATAAGAGACGGGCAGAGCGGCGGAATTGGAATTAAATTGAAATAAACGCGGCGCAGGATCGTATGCGATGGTAAGCGTAAAAAGTCATTAATTTTAATGAAAAACTCGTTTGGGTTTTTATTATTGTTATTGATTTTAAAATCTATACAAACATGCTCTGAGGTTAAGTGAAAAAATATGCCCATGTTGTGAATACTGCACAAGTTAAAAGGGAAAAATAAAACGTCGTAAATTGTTTATCTGGATGAAATAAAGCAGGTGACTTTTATGATATTAAAAAATATTTTTACGTTTTTAAGCATTAAATTTAAGTTTTTATGTTAAAATTTATAATAAAAATATTTTTAACAATTTCTATCAAAATTAATAATTTTGCACACATAGAATGTAATTCACTTTACTTTAATATAACTTTACTTAACCTTCAAATGACAAAAAAGAAGTTTTTTTTGTCAATATACTTCTTCATCTGTTTTTTCCCTTTTTTGTTTTATTTTTGTTGTACTTCTACGCACTTTTTATGTGAGTTTTTTAGGTTACTTTGCGGTATTCGGTTCAATATTAAAAGGCATCGCTCATTTGCCAAAAAAACTTGGTTTTTTCGGCGCAGTTGGTGCTTTGCTGCGGTCGCTTTGATCTTGACCTCAGATTTTCTTCGGAGTTTTTTTGTGCAAACTCTCGACGCAGGTTTGCGTTTCGAAAAATTTGCAGATTTCATTTCGGCGATGAACGCACAAGAAACGGATGTAAACCCGGAGCAAAGTTTTCTTATTACTAAACTGACAAACAGCAATGATAAAAATGATTCGAAGGAATCCCAGAAATGAATATTTTGACAAAAAAATAAAAAAAATTGCAAAAAATACATTTTATCAATTTTTCAAAAAATTATTTCTAAAAATCAATTTATTATCTTTTTTAACATAAACATATAAAAAATATAAATATTATTTCAAGATATTTATTAATTTATTTATAAATTTGATTTATACAATTATTTTCCAATAATTAATAATTTTACTGAATGAAACTTTGCCAACCACTTGAACTCCAATAAAGATACTCGTATTTAAACATTCATTACTATTTATGACATTTAATGACCTCCCAGCATCATTAACATTTCCAATTCGGCGTTGCTGCCTTTGGGCGTCGCGACGTCGTTGTATCGGCCGCAATAAATCGTCATTAATGTTTACGCATAGCGTAAAACACGAATATGTTTATTGATTTTATTTCCGCGTTTATGCACAACGCAATTAACATACTGAAACGGCAATCATTTGCATTTCGGTATTTATATTTAGAAAATTTAATCAATAGCCTTGAATTTAATCAAAATTAATTCAATTTAGTAACAAACAAATATAACAACAAATAAAACAAATTAAATTAATTTTATTAAAAAAAAATTAATTATTTCAAACCAAAAGTGAGGTTAGAATAATTTCCGTATAATTTTAGTTAACGCATCCTACACCCTGCGTAATGATTCATATAAACGCGCATAATCGCCGTTTAAACCCCTCAAAGTTTATGGATTACGTATTCATATAGTGCTCGAACCAAATCAAACGCCATTTGCATTATAAACACGTTCCTAATCACAGCTGCCAGCTCAATTTAACACTTTTACACCATTATACGCTCAACGCCATCTATCAATACCTAGTAAAACTATTATAACCATAAATTTGAGCTACTCACCTATACTTGCACAAAATGCGTGTAAATGTATGAATATCCACGTGATAGATGGTGTGGCGTGCGAAAAACTAACATCCGTCTTGACACTGTGCACTGTCACTGTTTATGGCGCTGTGCTGGCCGGTGTTTACATAGCCCATCGTGGCGGCGACTTGATTAGGCAATCTCTGCATTAGCGGTCAATTAATTCGGCGCCAAAATGTGTCCGAAAGGTCCTGCCAGGACGCTCCCAGAGGCATTGTAAACGTCCACTTCAAAATTGCGAAATTCCACAACTAACCGAACTATTTTATTGCAATTTGTAAGAAATTTAATTAATTATTTAATTAATTTACACGAAATTTATTCTAATTTACATATTAACACTTATTATCACTTATTATTATTTAATTACACTATTATTAGTTATTTTTTTCACTTTGTGTATAAATTAACACGTAATTCTTGTTTTGTTTTATTTTTTCTGTTTTTTTTATGGAGAAACTTTTTTTGACGCACGTCGTATCGCGATGAAACTTTGTGTGAATGACGACGCTAGCGGAGGCGGCGATTGGGTTGGAGAACGACAGCAGCGCGTCTTTGATGTGCCGACGGCGATCAAAGACTGACTTTGCGGCGGCGTGCGCGAGCGGGTCGGGCCGCCTCCCGCGCCGCCGACGAATGCCAGCGATGGTGGACGAATGAACACGAGCGGCGGCGATGGGAAAACACACTCGATACTAGTACCTACTAGGAGTTACCTGTACTGGAGGCTGAATCCATTTGGTCGTGACCTAGGACCAAGGGAAAAACTTTTTGTAAAATGTAGAAAATTTTGCAAAATTAAAAATTAATTAACTTTAGAAATAAAAATGATAGAAAATTGATTTAAAAACTGTTTGATAGTGAATTTAAGTATGTTTTATGAGGTTTTTCAGTATTTGATGCAAATTTTATTGTTTATGTGTAATTTTGAAAAAACTATTAATTTTTCAAAACAAATTCTGTAAAAACTTCAAAAAATCTCAAAATGAAAAATTGAATAACTTAAGAAATAAAACAGATAGAAAATTTATTTAAAAATTGTATTATTGTCAATTTATTGATGTTTTATTCGACGTAAAATTAAGTTTTGTAAGTTGTATAGTTTTTCAGTAATTTGGAAAAAACCTGAATTTTTTTAAACAAATTTTGTAAAAACTTGAAAAAATCACAAAATTAAAAATTGAATAACTCATGAAATAAAAATGATAGAAAAATGATTAAAAAACCATTACATAATAAATTTATTGACATTTCAGTTAAATTTAAATAATTTTATGTAAATTTTATAGTTTTTATGTAATTTGCAAAAAAATAAAAATTTCCCCAAAAAAACAACTTTTAAAACTAAATTTTTTCCTTTCTAGCTGTCGCGATAAGCAAAATGTATGCGACGATAAACATTAGGATCTTTTTGAGCGCTCGCTCCAGTTCCAGCCCCCATTGAAACCCTACCATGCACAAAGTCAGGAGTAGCGCGGTGCAATTTCAGGACGAGTGCAGTCGCTGCAGACATTGCAGTAATGCATCCGTTATATTGGCACCAGTCACCCAGACACAGTCGGCATAAGCACCAGCCCACTTAGTAGACTCTACAGTCACAACACCATCCGCACCCTCCAGAGAGGAGCACGGATAAGAGACAGTGGATGCATTTCAGCGGATTCCGACCAAAACTGACATCTTTGTAGATTGTATCATCACTTCTCCGCTCTTTTCTACTCTTCTCTACAAATCTACGAATTTAATGTGATTTAGTTAAGTTTGATTAAAAAATATCACTTTAATTTGTTATTTTATTAATTTGATTAAATTTATACGGTGTAGGTGTTCTTTTAATGTGGGGAATAAATACAAATATTTTTGACTTGGTAAAGAGGGGAAAACAGAAAGAAATTTGGTTTAGGGTGCGTCGAAGGGACGAAATATGCGCGGTATGTATATTAAATGGTGGAGGCGCCTTCATCTTCGACGCTTTTTGTATGGCTTATGTATTGTTGTATATATTTGGAAATAGGACAATAAAGGCAAACATTCCGAATAAAACGTTTTTGTTTGATTCAATGACTTATTTATGCCGTTTTACCACAATAACATTTTAACCTTTAGAAATTATTATTGTTTAATTAATTTTTGGATGATATTTTAATCATTTTGCATATTTTAATATATATTGGTTTAATAATTGCAATATTATTTAACAGTAGTAATTTAATTAAAATTTTCTACTTCCACGCTCAAAGCGTTAGTTTTTTTTATGATTCTGAGATACAAAAAGTATTATTTTAGTCACGGACAGTCAAAACTGTGACTAAAATACTTTAGTCACGGGTTTTAGTCACGAGATGGAGTTTACACCTGAGCATTTGCCTAAAAAGCGAAAGCATCACGTGGCTAAACATTGTTAAATCCTCGATTGATAATCATTCTCGTGAGTAAAGTCCTTGTTTACTCACTTGACACTTAATATATTATTTTTTTTTAATAAAATTTTATAAATTAATACTAATATGCTTTGCGCATGCGCGGATATAAAGTAAATTCTGTATGTTAAATTTCTATCCACATCTTTAACCTAATCAGCGCAATCTGTAAATGTTTGAACTGCGAGGAACGTAACTAATGTTGAAACAATGCAAATATTTTGTAAAGTAATTAATTTCAAAGCATACACATGCGAGCCTGGGAATGGGGTGTCTAAAAGGGGTAATATTTGCAATGCAATTTATAATTGCGCTCGCGTGACGGACCCTTTAGCACGCTGCACGCAGGATGTGCCAATTTGTTTTTCTGTCAAGTCATCGCAAGTTAAGTGCTTCCTCTGTTTAGAAAAACCGCTTGCTAGATTTCTCAAGTAATAATTAGTGATCAATCAATTTTAAAAATCAAAATATCATTATATTTACATTATATATTCATAATAGAATGTAACAAAAACATTGTGCTATTATTATTTAATTAAAAATCATATTATTATTAAATAATTTAAAACATATTATCCAAAAATAATCCCCATTGTAATTAATTGAAATTGAAGTTTTTAGTAATGTGTTGCGCACACAACAAACGAGTTTAATGAGTGTATTAATTTAATTCGTACGATGCATTTTGTGGTGGAGGCGCCGGGCGTGCACTTACTGCACGCCGGCGCTTCGATTGTATTCAATTACGCATTTTACGCTAATTATCAAAACGATGCTCTGCTCACGCTTTACAGCGTATGAAATTAATTAGCCGCCAGCGCTCGTTTTAATTAATACAATAGTTTTACATGAATCAAAATTGAAAATAAATAAAAATTCAATGATTTTTATTAAAAAAAATTAATAAAATGTTTTTTGTTCATTTTGAAATGTTATTTAATAGTAAAATAAAATAAATAATGGAATACTAATAATAATAATATATAAATGTTAGTATTAGTGGGTTTGGTGCAAAAAAAGGAGGAATTGAATCGTTGCAGAGCGGTTTCCCAGCGCCTCCACCACGCAAACTTTCTATTAACGACGAGACTCATTTATTGATAAACGTGAATACCACAATCCCACATATTGAATGTTAAAACCTCCAGGAAAAAAATTTTATCTTTTATTATTAGTGGTTCTGCTCAGAGAAACAATCTTAATTAAAGAAAATTGAAATAAAATTTAAAATAATTGAAAAAAATTGAAAAAAAAATTGGAAAAAAATTGGAAAAAATACTAAATAAAACAAAAATTTCATTATTATTATTTAATAATTTAAAAAAATGATAATATAAATAAATATGATTAAATTTTAAAAAAATATATTTTTTTATTCCTAATATTACGTTTTCTTATAAAAATATTCTAACAAAACAAAAAACATTTTCAAAAAAATAAATTTGTGTGTTTATATAATTTTCTTATCTTTCCAAAAATAACATCCCATACCTGTAGCTATTAAAATACCCACCCTTATCAGATTTTAAACAAATCTAACGTTTTTCCACCCTATACGCGTGAAAATCTATTGTTTGACCGCTAACTAGGAATCAAAGCCGACTGGAAAGTAAATTACGACCTGCGCCCCGAAATAAGAACACCTCGTTGAGAGTGTTGCAGCGTTGTTGAGGGGTGAATGTGCGAGTTGGACTTATTGAAATCATGCCTGCGAGCAATTTGGCCAGTCCGCTAATATCCGAGCAGGAAGGCGCAGGAAGGATGGATCCTTGCACCCTCTACCCCCGCGCCAGCTGATAAATGCGCTGGATTCACACAAATGCGTGACTCGTTTCAATTTGCCACCGCCGCCGCCGACCGCCAAGGTGCTAATTTTAGGGCATTTATATCACTGCTGATCTGCATACCGAAACAAATCTAGAAAACTTCCACCCTTGTTTAATACTCATGTTTTTTTACAAATAAAAGTATTAATTGTTTAAATAATTATATCTAGTATTTATTATTTATATTTTGAGGTTATGTGTGTTTTAATTATTAATTTTTTGTTTTTCAAGAAAATTTCTTTACTTTTCAGTTTAATTTTACAAAATGTTTGTGTATTCCAACGTGTAGTGCGCGTTTTGACTCGCTGAGGGTGGTGACTATCCCTTTCGCCATCGCTATTGTAAGGTAAAGGGTGGATAGTCTCTGAGTGGGGTGAGGACAATGCCACCTCGCGGCGTTGTTCGCGCACGGCGCGTAAAATATCACTGTTTAGGAAATAATGCCTTTTGTTTAATCTGATTTATGGCCGGAATTCATTAGAGCCACTCTTAAGGAGAATATTATTTAGCGCGATTTACTGCCACCCACTTGCTGCCAGGATTGCATACAAGCCACCAACCTCTGCAGCGCCATCCACTTAAAGGCCGATGAACGCCAGAGATATTAAGACCTATTGGCGATTACACAAGCGATAATGCTTATAATATACGCAATTACACTACAATATTAAATTAGAGTTTAAATACTTATGGAATTTTAGGAATTGATTTTATTTTTGAGATTAAAGTCGGATTAATTGCGATAAATGTTTTTAAAAAAGTGAATATGCAAAGAAAATATATTGATGAATTGTTAATTGTTATTAATCACATTGTTATGCAATTTAGTAATAGTAATCATAATAAATTTATCTAAAACCAACGAAAATCTGGCGGGAATTATCTATGTCCACTTTCTGCGTTCTTAATATTACGACCTGATGAGCAGCTCAATTTTCGTATTTCCTCGACAAAATTTTGTTGAGAAATCCGATGAAACTAATATACAAAATCTTTTGAATATTAGGATCGCAGAAAGTGCAGTAGGATGCCAAAGGAATTATTCGAACTTACTGTAACACCCAGTGACGGCGTAATATTGTTACTAATAAACAGATGACACTGGTAGTACCATTTTAAATATATTTAAGGCATTTATCGGACGCGGGTAGTAATACATACTAGGATTGGTGGCCGCACGGACTCCCCCTCCATGCATTAGTTGGTTTAAGTCCTGCCTCTGCGTTAGTAGGCTCACGGCTAAGCCACTACCCACGCCTGACGGTACTGGACTTAGATGATCGCAGGAATGCATGGTTTTGAAACAAATTAAA